CACCCCTCCCAGGTTTGGCCAAGGCCAGGTGTGGAAGTGCCACAGGACAATGAACATTTTCCATTTCCACCTTTTCCTCCCCAAGCGCGGCCCAGGCTAGAACCCCAGTGAAATGCAGCCACCTCTGGGGTGGTGCACAAGAGCAGTGGAGCAGGCCCATGATGGGCGAGAGGCCAAGGGCATCCATGCGGCAGGGGCAAGCAGAGAGACACTAACGCGGAGGATGAACGTGGGGCTTTGGAGCCCGCAGTGATCTCTATGCTGCTGGATGTCGCGCTCCAAGCTGCACGTGCTTCCCATGCAGGCTCCTCCGTCGCCGCCCCATCTTCATCCAAGCCCTGGGCAGCTTCACAAGGAGGATCCCCCCCAGATACAAAGAACTGAAAGGCTCCAGGCCAGGACTGCAGCAAAACCTACCCACAAACCTTACAGTCCTGCGCAGGAAGGAGTTGAAGTTGCAACCGCCGGCGTTGATGCTCCCCTCCGACCCACTGCGCCCCTTCAGCTTGGACTGCAGGCAGTAGATGATGCCTTCCCCGACCATGATCTGGGGGGAAGAGCAGAACTCAGTGTGGGCCACACAGGCTTGTTGGCAAGTCAGAGCGAGGAGTATAAATGTAGATGTTTTGGTACAGGGGCAGGTCCTACCCTCTCCCAGCAGGGGGCGCTGTAGGGAGCGGGGCAGGAGTGCTGGCAGGGGGAGCTCCCAGGTACTCCACTCCTGAACTCTCCCAGAAGGGGGCGCTGTATGGAGCGGGGCAGGAGTGCTGGCAGGGAGCTCCCAACTACTCCAGTCCCAACACAACACACATCCCCCTCCCGCACACTCTACCGTTGCCCTGTCATACCAGGTGGCTGTGCACAGGGGCCCCGAAACCTGGCCCAGCTTTGCATTGTCTCTGCAAGAACCGCAGGTGCCGGGGCTGCTCTGGGGCAGGAGGGGGCATCGGGGCGGAGGGGCCTTTGAAGAAGGGGCACAAGTTAGGGCTGCCGTAGCCTGTGCCGGGGCTGTACGGGCCCCTGCGGTCTCTGAAGAAGGGAGGTGAAATCAGGGCTGGGCGCAATCTGCCCACCCCACTCTCCAGAAGGTCCCTCCAGGCCTCTCCCTTCCCTCGCCCCCTTGTCTCAGCCCTCCCGGCCCATGCGGAAAGAGAAGTCCCCCCCGGCTTGGCGCCGGCTACGTACCGAGGCGGCAGGAGCAGCGAAGGCCAGGCTGAGAAGCATCAGCAGAGGAATCATCTCCTCATTGGTCTCCACGTAAGGCATGGACAGGGCCCGGTCGTAGCACTGGAAACCCACCTTGGCTGGCTTGAAGAGGTCGGTCAGCTCCAGGAAATACAGCGTCACGATGGAGGAAGCCACGATCGGGAGCTGGGCGAGGGGCAGGAAGGAAGCAAGCAAAGAGGTGAGTCAGGAGGAGCATGGTCAGGTGGGCTCAGTTTCACCCCCCTGCCACGCTACAGACCTGCCTTCAAGGGCCTCAGGGCAAAATCACCCTCTAAGGCAAGTCAGGGGTGTCACTGTAGTCAGTAGACACCACTCCCTTTTCTGGAGCTGGGAACAGAACCCAGGAGTCCTGACTCCCGGTCACCCCCACAACCACACTCCCCTCCTATAGCTGGGAATAGAACCCAGGAGTCCTGACTCCCGGTCACCCCCACAACCACACTCCCCTCCTATAGCTGGGAATAGAACCCAGGAGTCCTGATTCCCAGACACCTCTGCTCTAACCACTAAGCCACACACCCCTCCTATAGCTGGGAATAGAACCCAGGAGTCCTGACTCCCAATCACGCCTGCTCTAACCACCGGACAGTCTCTTTCCTATGTGTCCGTACAGCACCTGTCACAACCGGGCTCCAGTCTCTAGGGGCGGCAGTAGAATTGTTAAGCAGACCCCCTGCCTCATTCATTCCTCCCCCTAGGCCTAGCGTCTCTGCCCATCCACCGACCCCACTCCAACGTGGCCCAGAGGGGCTTGAGGGGCAGAGCTCGCCAGCCCTGATGTACCGATCCCTCTTCCGCTGCCCTCAAGGCCTGCGGCCCATTTTGTGGTGAGCGTCTCCATGGGAGAGATTTTATTAGAGCCCGAGACACAGAGAGGAATCCTGCAGCTCTGCCGCCCAGGGAGCAGTCATGACATGCAGCCACACGCCTCAGTTCTCAGTGACACTCAGTGACACTCAGGCCACACTGGGCCCCTCTGGCAGAGTCAAAGGGCTTAAGGTGGGTGGAAACAGCTTCCTGAGAATGGCCCTGCCAGGGGTCTCCCTGGTCAGTGCAGGGCTGGCACAAGGGCTCTTGCACCCAACCCCCAGACAGGGGATTGCTGGGGGTGTGGCCAGGGCACACTGCACTATGGGTATTCGCTGTTTGCTGGGAGTCACGGGAAGTAGAGTGCAACATAGAGCAGCCACAGAGCTGCTCTAACTTACCCCACGGGTTGAGCAGACCCACCCACAAAGTAAAGGAAGGACAAAGGTAGATTAAAGCCACCTTAACACTCCTCCATCCAGGCCCCATGCACAGGAAAGGAGTAACTGAGAATCAGCCCCAGAAACGGAATCAGCTCCAGATGTGTAAATCGAATCATCTCCCACTCATTCCCCGGTCCTCAGCCCCCGCAGGGCTCCCCTGAGAGAGCATCTCACATTCCGCTGACACTCAGCTCCCGCCTCGCTGCAGGGACGTGGCACGCAAGGCAGCGCCCGCCCCCTCCCTGCTGTGCTCTGGGTCCCTTTGAAAAGCCTCTACCCACCTCCACAAAGTAGAAGCACGGAAGGAGCGTCATGCTATCCTTGGGGGCCTTGGACTTCTCTTTCGTGGAGATCATGGTGTCGGCTCAGGGGGCAAGCGACGGGGGCTCGCCTGGGTCAGTCTAGACAACGAGACACGGCAAGCGTTAGTTTAGTGGCACTCAAGGGGAAGTGGGGAAGGGGGAGGAGTGCTGTCTGTGGGGGGAAGATCATAGTTACTCCAGGACCACCCCAGCACTGGAGTGAGTAGGGCAGGAGCGCTGACTGGGCTGGGGGACTCCCGGCAACTCCAGTCCTGGCCTCTCCCAGTAGGAGGCGCTGGAGGGAATGGGGCATGAATGCTGTATGGAAGGATCCAGCCACCTCATACCCAGCCTCACCCGCGTTGCCCTCCTGTCCGGGCTCTGCATTCATAAACTATTTCAATCCCCTTCCCGCTTGCCCCTTGTCTCATGCCCGTCCTGCCCACACACCCCACCCCAGCCTGTGGCAATGACACACACGCCCCGCTTTCTTTCCCCAGGCTAAGAGCTCTCAGTGTGATTCCCCAGCCCAGGGTTGGTCTGCCCAGCCCGGGGGAGTTGCGTTCTGTAACAGACCGGAGGCGGGACAGGGGTGGGGAGGGGAGTCATGTGGCAATCGATGGGTGAGGGGGAAGGACCCCGGCCTGGGGCTGACGTGGGATTTAAACGGCTCACTCTGGGGATGCTGGAAAAGGAGGGTGAGGGTGCGAGGGGTAAAAAGCCGCGCGGCAGGCGGGCAGGGCGGGGTGATTACTAGAGAAAGGGGAAAAACAAGGGGTGCCTTGAATCCATCATCCCAGCCCGAGGGGGGGGCTGGGGGAAGCCAAGGGCCTGGCTGGGGTCTCAGCTGGAGATCTTGCTGCACCTGTTTGAGGGGGTCCTGCTTTGCCCATTCTCCAGATCCCTGCAAGACACTGATGCTGCAGCAGGCTATTGTATTCAAAATCCCAGCGGGGGTGGGGGGGGTTGCGAGGTGGGGTCTGACGT